TGTGTGTGTGTGTGTGTGTGTGTGTTTGTGTGTGTGTGTGTTTATGTGCAAGGATGGCTGTACCTCTGTGTGTGTTTGTGTATTTGTGTGTTTGTGTGTGTGAGTCTGTGTCTGTGTGTTTGTGTGCATGTCTGCATGTGTGTGTGTGTCTGTGTGTGTGTGCGTCTGTGTGTGTTTGTGTGTAAGGATGGTTGTACCTGTGTGTGTGTGTGTGTCTCTATCTCTGTGTGTTAGTGCGTTTGTGTGTGTGGGCACCATGGCCTGTGCAGGGGCATCCACCCACTCCCGAGGCTCCTGTGCGTGTCCATGTGTGTCCGTGTGTGCATTTCTGTGTCCCTGTGTGTGTGTGTGTGTGTGTGTGTGTGCATTTCTGTGTCCCTGTGTGTGTGTGTGTGTCCCTGTGTGTGTGTGCAGGCAGCCGGCAGCGATGGCTCCTCACTGCCCTGCAGCTCTGCTACTGGAGCAGGGGCTCCTCAGAAATCACTTCACAGCAGCTTTGGATCCTGGCAGGGCAATAACAGGGGGGCAGGGCAGGCCGGGGAGGCAGGAGTGGGGGCTGCAGGGACCTGGCAGGGTCGGAGGGTCTCACGAGGAGCAGGTGGGCAACAGTGGATCCTCACAGGGAATTGTCAGGGCAATAGTAGATCCTCTCAGGGACCTGGTGGGGGGATAGTAGGTTCTCTTACAAGGACCTGGCAGGGCAATAGCGGATCCTCACAGGGTCCTGGCAGGGTGATAGCAAGATCTGTTACAAGGACCTGGCAGGGCGATAGCGGATCCTCACAGGGTCCTGGCGGGGTCATAGCAGGATCTCTTACAAGGACCTGACAGGGCAATGGGGGATCCTCATTAGGGACCTGACAGGACAATAGTGGGATCTCTGACAAGGACCTGGTGCTGCAGTGGTGGATCCTCGCAGGGCCCTGGCAAGGCGATAGCGGATGCTCACAGGGACCTGGCAGGGGGGTCCCGCAGGGGCAGGTTTGCGGGCTCCCTTGGGGGGTGCGGCGGCCCGGGGCGGGCGGGCTCTGCCGCTGTCCGCGGTGCTGCCCGGGGCCGCTGTCCGCGGTGCTGCCGGGACCGGCCCCTCTCCGCCGTGCTGCGCTCCCGGCGGCTCCTCGCCCGCCAGTCCGGGGGGTTTCGTGGCCTCTCCGACCCCAGCTACCCCAGAGCTCGCCCCCGAACCTGACCACAGCTGTTTGATCCAGGAGCCCGCGATCTCCCAGGCAACACCACCCAGGGCAGCACTAACAGGGTGACTGATCATTCTGCCCGTCTCGAGGCCCTCATCCCTCCTCTCTGCCAGCTGTTGGTAAACTCTCCAACAGCTTGGACAAGCTCTGTCTTCCTGGCAGCTTCCGTCCTGTTCATCCCAGCATCCTCATGGTCTGTGCAACGTTTGTGATGACAGGCTCTTAGAGCCCTGTTTTCTTCTCTCCTCCTGCGTCAAATCCGCCCCCCAGCACTGCATCATCACTTGTTGTGGGTGACAAAACCCTCCTGAATGAAGTGACTTCTCTGGCAGTGACGTCTCCCGTGAAATGTGCACCCTGGAGTGGATTTGGGAACTGAAGGACTTTGGCCTTTGCTTTTGTCAGGTTTTCTCCCACTGGGGATTGGGAGCTGCCACTCCGCTGCTGGAAGACACTTCCCCATGAGCCTGTGAGAGGAAAGGGGGCTTGTCTATGGGGTTGCATGTCTGGGCTGTTCCTGTGAGATTCCACAGGATGGTTGTACCAAGTGCTGAACAATCCTGACAATGATGGTTGGCCCAGTCACGCAATCTGCAAACAGTGAGATGTCAGGGAGAAAAGGCCGAATCTCTGCTCTCCTCCTGCTTTGAGGTGGTCAAAAAGCATATGGAGGTGCTCATGGAGCTGCTGGAACATCAGGGACGATCTGTACTGACACTTCCAAGGCAGACAGATTTGTGTGTCCCTGTCCATCCCTGTCTCGGAGGGTTGGGAGGGCCTGGGGCAGGACGGGGCATGCCCTGGGTGTCCCAGCACACAGCAGTTGGAATCTCCATGGGATGTGGTAATTGCATTTTGTAGGTTGGAGGAATGTGGCCTCAGCCCTGGGGTGTAGGAGCCTGGGGGGCTACTTGGCTGCAGGCAGGGGCTTTCCTGCAGCAAGGGAGGGCAGATCCCAGTGCTGCCAGAGACGGAGGAGAGAACGGTTATTGGACCCACTCCCCTCCCCAGTGTGTGCCCCCAGCCCACCTTCTCCACACTGGGTCTTTGCCCAAGCACAGTCCTGTTCCTGGGGATGGTAGGAACACCCAAATCTTTGCCTGCCCATTTTCCCAGAAAGAAATGCCTGCCCAGCCTCCCGCCACCACTGCCTGGAGCTGCCTGTGCTCAGAGGCCTGAATCTCTGGCCACCTTTCTATCTGAAGTGACTTCCCAGCTCATTCAAGGTTCAGGATTTCTGTGCTCCAGACAGGCAGCCTCAGCACCCAGGGCAGTGGGGACCTGGCTCATCTTTCCAAGGCAGGGCTGGGAAAGCTGCTGAATCCACTGAGCCTCCTCTGAGCCTGGCCTCAGGGACCAGCCCAGGTCTGAGCTGGTTGTATCCATTTCCAAAACCTCCTGCTGGCTGCAGTTCAGTCCAGCAACTTGTCAGCATCTGTCTCCTCCTGTGACTGTCCCCTTGGGCTCCCGAGGCCCCAGGCTGCCCCTCTGTCACCACCTGCCCTCTCCCTGGAGACAACCAGAATGCTGAATGGCTCTGGCTGTGGGCTCTGTGCTGGATCAACAGCCTTTCTGTGCCACCCAGTAATTATCTGCTGGGATTTGTGCTGTGTGAGACACCCCGGTGCACGTTCTGTTTGCTTCTCCAACTGCTGCCAAGAACCCAGCCTCTGGTTTTAAGTTTCTTCCTTCTTCCCCCTCCTCTCCTCCTGCTTTCAAGTAAATTTAACACATGTCCAAGCACCAGAGGCCCAGCTCCACTGTCGGGCAGTGGGAGTGGAGGCAGCAGCAGCTGCATCCGAGTCGGGAGTGGCACCAGACTGTCTGCACAGGGCTGGGCTCATCCCTGGAGGCTGGGATCTCTCTGGGCTGCTGCCACTGAGCTGGGCTGTCTGCTGGCACCTCCACACCATGGAAGAAGCTTCAGCAGCTCCCACCAGCCCCGTCCCACGGCTGTGCTGGGAACAGTGTCCTCAGGAGATGCCACGTGCTGTGCATCCCACGGGGTTTGCCAGCTGTGCCACTGGCAGCTGCCTGCGCTCCTGAGCTCTTTTTTGCATGGCTGCTCCCTCCTTGCTTGCTCCAGGAGCGCTGGACGAGGCCAGGGATGCTGTGAGGGTGAAAGCAATGGGCTGGGGGCAGCAGGGGATCTGAGCTGCATCCCTCTCAATAGCCACCTCCCCTAGGCTGCATGGAGCATCCTCAGAGCCCACAGAGCTTGACCAGGGGCGTTACCAGGCAGGAGGCTCCTCCCTTGGTGCCCCTTCATCAGGCCCTGTCTTCATCCCAAATAAAGCAGCTAAAATAATTCCCTTGCTTTTATCGCGGGTCTGGGGGGAGCTGGCAATGAAGAGGGTCCTCAGGTTCCATCAGATACTGATGGATGGACGTGCCAGGCATCCCTCGGGGCTTCAGAGCCATGTCCCTGTCCCCTGATCCATGCACTGAAAGCCCTTTCCTGTACTCCAGCTCCTCATCGTGTCCCCAGGGGTTGCCAGGAGCCAGCGCTGTCACAGGGTTTGGCACAGCCCTGGCAAACAGGACAGGAGCACTCCAGCAGGGCCCCACACCAGGCACCAGCTGGGGCAGGGGGAAGGGGCTGAGCCCCATCAATTATTCACCTCTGTATTTATAGAGAGAAACGTGTTGAATAATGGATGGCGGGTGCGGTGGGGCCGTGGAGAACCGGCCCTGCTGCCACTGCAATATTTATTGCCTGCTTTGCTGGTGCTGCCCGGCTGCTGAGAGGCTCCTGCCTGGCATGGGCTCACAGGTAGCTCTGCTCCACCACCACTGCCTCATCTCCCCTCCACAAAAATGCTCCAAGGGCTGGAGCCCCTCTGCTCTGGAACCAGGTTGGGAGAGCTGGGGGTGCTCACCTGGAGAAGAGAAGGCTCCAGGGAGACCTGAGAGCCCCTTCCAGGGCCTAAAGGGGCTCCAGGAGAGCTGGAGAGGGACTGGGGACAAGGGTCTGGAGGGACAGGACAAGGGGCAGTGGCTTCCCACTGCCAGAGAGCAGGGTTGGATGGGATATTGGGAAGAAATCGTTGGCTGTGAGGGTGGTGAGGCCCTGGCACAGGTTGCCCAGAGAAGCTGTGGCTGCCCCTGGATCCCTGGAAGTGTCCAAGGTCAGGTTGGATGGGGCTTGGAGCAACCTGGGCTAGTGGAAGGTGTCCCTGCTCATGGCGGGGAGCTGGAATGAGATGAACTTTGAGGTGCCTTCCCACCCAAACCAGTCTGTGGTTCTTGCTCCAGCCCCCATTGATGGGGGGATGTGAATGTCCAGGGTCAAATCCCCATCTGTCCCTCATCATGGGGGATGCCACGGCCATGCAGCCTCCGGGAGGATCCTGCTCTGTGCCCCGGCCATGGCCCTCTGTGGCTGTGCCCACCCTCCCTGCATTTCCCGATCCCATGTGCCACCCTGCTCCCTGCACAGGGACTCCTGGGATCTCCCTCCCCATCTGTGCTGCCACATCCCCCAGCCCCATCCCCCGTCCCTGCCAGACCGGCAGCCCCTCATCCCACATCCCTGTGTTACAGAGAGACCTGTGGAAGATGTCGAGCCCGAGAAACGGCGACACTAAGCCCCCATGTTTGCCCCGCAATGGACTGGTGAAGATCCCCACGCAACCCAACGGCCTCGGCTCCGCCAGCATCACCAAAGGCACCCCCGCCATGAAAAACCGCCTGTGCCAGCCTTCCTCCGTGCCTGCCATCCTCAGCCCGGCCTTAGCCCACCGCAGTGACCTGCCCATCCCCAGCCTGGCCTCCCCACTCTCCTTGGCTGCCCTGGCCAGCGTGTCCTCCCCTCCCGGCGCTTCCTTGGTGGGACTGAACGCGAGCGAGGGCTCGGAGCAACCCTCTCCGGAGCGGCTGCCGGGCTCGCCCTCGGAGAGGCAGCTGGCGGTGGACGAGAAGATCCTCAACCGCTTGTTCTGGTACTTTTCGGCGTGTGAGAAGTGCGTGCTGGCGCAGGTGTGCAAGGCGTGGCGGCGGGTGCTTTACCAGCCCAAGTTCTGGGTGGGCTTGACACCCGTCCTGCACACCAAAGAGCTCTACAACATCCTGCCTGGTGGGGAGAAGGAGTTTGTCAGCCTACAGGGCTTCGCCGTCCGCGGCTTTGACGGCTTCTGCCTCGTGGGCGTCTCTGACCTGGACATTTGTGAGTTCATTGACAACTACCCCCTCTCCAAGAAGGGAGTCAAGTCCATGAGCCTTAAGAGGTCGACCATCACAGATGCGGGGTTGGAGGTAGGTGACCCTGGTGAGGTGACCGGGGTGGCCAAGGTGTGGCAATGGTGGGTCATTCCTGGTGGGCCTGGGGACACACACATGGGCAGAGCTTTCTCTGGTCACAGGGAAGGGGCAGACAGGTGGCGTGGCCATCCCACAGGTGTGGGCAGCACTGGGAGCCCCTGCCTGTGGTCTGGGCAGTGGGATGGGTGCAGGCAGAGGGTCAGGATGCTGCCGGCAGAGGTTCATCCTTGCTGCCCATGGATGCTGCCAGGAAGGCAGAGCCAGGCAAGGTGGATGCTGGCAGTGGATGTGGCAGTGGGTGACAATCAGGACTCAGTGGATGGGGACATTCCCACTTGGCTGGCTGTTCTCCAGCAAGGGGGGGGTCACCCGAGCAAGGGGCTGAGGGTCAGACGGAGATGGGGCAACTCATGGTCCTGCACAGGACCTGGCAAGGTCCCCACTGAGGTCCCTGCCTTGCACCATGGCCAAACATAGCACCAACTGCTCCTTGGGCACATCTTACCTGAGCAGTTCCTGTGTTGGGAGAGGGCATCAATCCTGACTCTGCCAACAGCACCTGGCACAGCACTGGGGCTGTGTCTGGGGGTCCCTGCCTGCCCTCTCCTATTCCCCTCCAATGCTGGTGTGTCCTACACCAGAGAGGTCCCAGGGAGAAGGCTGCACCCAGGCAGGACTGGGAGCAGAGCCACAGGGGGCTCAGAGGGACGCGGGGCGGGCAGGGCTGCGCAGAGCACGGGGTGGTGCCCACCGTGCCTTGACCCCCTGGCCCTCGGCAGGTGATGCTGGAGCAGATGCAGGGCGTGGTGCGGCTGGAGCTGTCGGGCTGCAACGACTTCACGGAGGCGGGGCTGTGGTCCAGCCTAAACGCCCGGATCACGGCCCTGAGCGTCAGCGACTGCATCAACGTGGCCGACGACGCCATCGCCGCCATCTCGCAGCTCCTGCCCAACCTCACCGAGCTCAACCTGCAGGCCTACCACGTGACGGACACGGCGCTCGCCTACTTCACCGCCAAGCAGGGCTACACCACCCACACCCTGCGCCTCAACTCCTGCTGGGAGATCACCAACCATGGTGTGGTCAACATGGTGCACAGCCTGCCCAACCTGAGCGTCCTCAGCCTCTCGGGCTGCTCCAAGGTGACGGATGACGGGGTGGAGCTGGTGGCCGAGAACCTGCGGAAGCTGCGCAGCCTCGACCTCTCCTGGTGCCCTCGTATCACCGACATGGCCCTGGAGTACATCGCCTGCGACCTGCACAAGCTGGAGGAGCTGGTGCTCGACAGGTACAGGGGTGTGCAGAACTGCTTTGAGCTGTGCCGTGCCATGCCAAGCCATGCCATGTCATGCTGAGCCATGATGAGACATGCCATGCCATTCCATGCCATGTCAAGCCATGTCATGCCATGCCAAGCTCTGCCCCATCACGCTGTGCCATGCCGTGCTGTGCCATGTCATGCTGAGCCATGCTGTGCCATGTCACACCATGACAAACCATGCCATGCCGAGCCATGCTGTGCTGAGCTGCGCTGGAAGCAGAAGGTGCAGCATGGGGGCCATGGTTTGGGGACACCCTTGGGTGCCCCACTCCCGACCAGCCCTGATGCCCCTGTCCCCGGTAGGTGCGTGCGGATCACCGACACCGGCCTCAGCTACCTGTCCACCATGTCGTCCCTGCGGAGCCTCTACCTGCGCTGGTGCTGCCAGGTAGGTGGGGGAGCACGGCTGTGCCCGTCCTGGCTTGGCACAGCGGGGAGGGTAGGGTGGCACCTCCCTGGGGATGGGCCATGAGCTCAGGGTGGGCTCCACAGGTGGGCTGGAGACCCCAAGCTTGGTGCTAGGAAGCAGGTACTCCTGTGAACTCAGCAGGACTCAGCCCTGGCACCCAGACCCAGCACCCTGCCCCAGCACCAGTATTGCCCAGACCCAGTATCCTGCCCCAGCATCCTGCTCCAGCACCAGGCTCCCTGTCCCAGCTCCCTGCACCTTGTCCTGCCATGCAGCATTTGGCCCCAGACCCGGTACCCTGCCCCTGTCCCCAGCATCCTGCTCCAGCATCCTGCTACGGCGTCCTGCATCCTGCATCCTGCTCAGGCTCCCTGCCCCAGCACCCAGCTCCCAGCCCCCACTCCCTGCACCCTGTACCCCCACCCGGTCCCTGCCCCAGTACCCAGACCCAGCACCCTGCCCCAGAATCCTGCACCCTGCCCAGGCTCACTGACCCGGTGATGCTGAGCCCCAGTGCTGCTGGTCCCCCCATTGCCCACCCCATTCCCATTCCCTTTTCTTTTCCAGGTGCAGGATTTTGGCCTGAAGCATCTCCTGGGCATGAGCAGCCTGCGTCTCCTCTCGCTGGCTGGTGAGACACGCCCCCAGCCCAGGGACCGGGGGAACAGGACCCCGTGGGGCTGCGGAGAGACTGAGCATGGGGACAGAGACAGTCCGGGGGACAGTGAGGGGACAGCCTGGGGACAGCCAGCACCCCCTCTGAGACAGCAAGCACCCACACCCAGCCCAGCTCCATGGGGACGGGTCCATGGTTGGGCTTTTGGCGTGCTGTGGTTTTTAGGGTGGGGATTTTTTCGGTGCTGGTTTTTGGGGTTTGAGGTTTTTTGGGTGTTGGTTTTTGAGGTGTTGTTTTTGAGGGCACTGTTTTTTTGGGATAATGGTGCTTTGGGATACTGGTCTTTGGGGGGGCTTTTTTGGATACTGGTGCTTTCAGGTGTTTTGGGGTGCTTCTCTTGAGGTGCTGGTTTTTTGGCTGCTCTTTTTTTTGGGTGTCTTGGGCGGTATTTTTTGCATGTTGATTTTGGGGTTCTGGTTTTTTAGGTGCTAGTTTTGGGGTTGTTGGTGTTTTAGGGTGCTGCTTTTTGGGAAACTGGTGTTTAAGTTACTGATTTTTGGGGTGCATTCTTTGAGTTCTGGTACTCTGGGTGATTTTTGGTGGTTTTTCTTGGAGGGGGCGTACCTTTTTTTTTTAGTTTTCTGGGGGTTTGTGTTCTGTTTTTTGAGGGTTCTGTGTTTTGGAATGCTGGGCTTTGAGGTGCTTTTCATTTGGTACAGGTATGTTTGTGATGCTGGGGTTTTGGGGACCTGATCCTTTAGAGTGCTATTTGTACAGATCTTGGTGTTCTGGGATGCTGGTGCCTTTGGGATGTTATTTTTGGGGGTGCCGATGTTTTGGGGTGACAGTGTACCCTGTTTCCTCCAGGCTGTCCCTTGCTGACCACCACGGGGTTGTCGGGGCTGGTGCAGCTGCAGGAGCTGGAGGAGCTGGAACTCACCAACTGTCCCGGGGCCACCCCGGAGCTCTTCAAATACTTCTCGCAGCACCTCCCGTGCTGCATGGTG